GAATACATGTAGACTTTTTTAAAGTCTGTAAAAGTTTTAATTGAATACACCAGGATTCTAAAAGTCTTAAAACGTCTAAATTGAATACACCCCCCTAAAAAAAAGTTAACTAAGTTATTATATTATACTTTATATTTTTATCTTTATCGTTTCGGTTCTGAATGGAGACCGAATCGATAGTAATTTACAAGTGAGCCTGTATGATTTAGTTTATTTTGCCAACGATTCAGCTCGATTCGGTTCGTTTCGATTTTCAGTTTTGGTCAAAAAATACCAGCCTTATATTTTGCCCCACAAATCCAACTCACATGCCCCATAAATCCAACTCAAGAGAGCACTCTTTTTTTTAAGTAATTTTCTTTTTCTTTTTTAAGCAAAATCTAATCTTTCAGAATTTCATCTCACCATTTTCAAAATCCTAAAGGGAAAAAAAGTCCTTTTTCTCTGCATATTTCAAATTCCTCTAAACTTTATGCAGAATATTTTCCGAATATAGCCCTAATATCACATTTACATATATTCATTGTCTCTTACTTTTTGTTTGAGCTAGTATATAGCTTATGTCATGCACGAAACACATATATTAAATGAGTTATTTTCGTAGGGTTTGCCCGTTTAGGCACTGATGGGTCTCCTCCTAGATCTGGAGTGAACTAGGGGATATGAGCTCCGTTCTGTTAGAACAACCTTCGAATCGCCACTAGACCTCCAAACACCTGCAAGAACTCAACGCCGGAAGTGTTTCCGGCGTAGAGCCTCTGACGCTTTAGTTAGTATGAGAAATGGATGAAAGAGCTCTGCTCAGTGGGAGCAGCAGTAGCTGGGAAATGAATAGAGAGAGTCTAAAGTAAGGGTTGGTGTTACCTCTCCTTTTTTATAGTGGGAAATACCTGTCTTGAAGTACCCAGAATGCCCCTGGTCGACCGGCCTATTTGCCCGGTTTACTTGCGTCATAATCACCTCTTAGTCATACCTGGGTCATTTTAAGATTCCATCTTATCCTTAAATATTCTTCTTACCCACCAAATAAACCTGAACATGTTGGAGTACCATGAGTCATCGCTTGTTCCCTATCTCGAGGTGTAAAGAGTCGACCTCGAGTGGATAGAGGTCAACTTAGAGTTTAGAAGAGTTTCGGGAGGCTCCATGACCTATCCTTGGAATGCTTTCGTCCTCTTAACGGAGTAAGTCGACTTTAATTAGAGCAGTTTGTGGAGGTCGACATGAGCATGTCGACTTTCGGATATCGAACATAGAAAGTCACCTTCCCCCTAGCGTGGTGTCATATAGAGAGTCGACTTGGGGATATCGACCTCAGGATGTCGACTTGAGATATGTAGTTTCAATCTTCTCGCGAGTCACTCGACTTGTCATCCAGTCGAATGACTAACACTTGAACCAGTATATGATATGGCTATATCATGCACCAAAAATAATAATATGGAATCATCATATGTTTTAATCATGAAACTTTTATACAAATTTCTCACATTATTAAATATTAAAAGTTTCATGTCCAATTGGACCAATTGCACTCTAAAATGTTCTGTTTACATTCTCTTTGGTACTTTTATCTTGCTATTGATCCACTCTTCAGACCAAATGAATAGGACTGACAAACTGGCTCTAGAGATTATTGAGACACTTTAGAGCCCAGATGACATTTGTTATGGTTTTCTACTTTTCTTGTTCGGCAAGTGAAAGGAAGGAATATTGCAGCATCTAATTATTTTCGTATCGTAATCAATCGTGTCACTATATAATGGTATCGTCCATTCTGAAACAGATATCGCGAAACATAACTTTGATGAGAAGGAAGATTTTAGGGTGTGATTGTATATAAATTCAATAGTAAAAAATCTAATCATAACTCAAATTTAACTAAACTTTAACTCTACCCCACTATCTTCAATATTAATAATATAATTAAATAATATCAACCAATCATTCTTACACATCACATCAACTTTAATTCACTATTCATCCACTTACATAATTCTAACTAACTATCACTTCCAATCATTTTTCTCCTACTTTACATCAAATCAACTTTAGTTATTTTATTTAAATATTATTTTAATATATCCACTAACAACTAACCACACCACTTTTTTTCAAAATTAACTATAGTTAAAAATAAACCAAATAAAAACTAGTTTTTTTACTATTGAAACTATAAACAATTAATGGCTTGGGAAAAAAGGTCCAGTGGATGCAGCAACACTTTGACCAACAGTTATCCTTCAGACAAACCGCCAAAGGTCCAAAGGGGTGTGGTTTAGGACATCATCAGCTTCGTGCCTTGGGGTCGACTAAATTAGACCTTGATGATCCTAAATTAATGGATTTTTATGAGAGAATCGACGACACTCTTGCACATCAATGCGGATTGGATCAACTGCTCACAACAAGGTATATTAAGTAGAATGCAAGCCTTTTCTTTCTTTTTGTTTACGGTTTATTTGTAATTTTGTGATACAATGTTGGAATATAAATATATATATATATATATATATATATATATATATATATATATATTCTTACTCTGATATACTTGAATATCTGTTTGGATGAGTTGGGTGATTATAATATGCGTCTGTGTGTAGATTGGTTATGAACAATGTTAGCAGCCTGTTGAACTTAATTGTGATCAACTGTTGGGGAATGAATGCAGTGTTTTCAAACTAATTGAGTTTTGGAGCCTTTGTTTGTATCCATTTAACTTCAGTTTAAGCAATTTTTGGTGCATCTGTTGACACTTTTGTACCTTTATTATATCATTAGATTTTCCAACTCTACAAAGATAATACACCCATGCTTATGTGGATGCTGAGAAGCAAAACACAATTATATATGTTTTAAGTGTGGTGCTTACAATTTTGGATGTGCCTCTTGGAATCCCTCATGTTGAAAGATATTACAAATAGGTTGAAGTTAAATGTGAAGTCTTGTAATATTAAATTCTCGATAATCCATCTTGTCAAGTCTTTCATTCTGATCAACTTAATATGCGAAGGAATGAACCCGTTTAAATTGGTGTTTTCTAGAGAAGTTACAGATGTTCGGTTATCAGATGAAATTTTCTACATGTATAACCTTTGATTTGCTTGGTGTTTTAAATGTGACCTTATAATCATATGCAATGCGATATTTCACATTACTGTTCTTCTACATGTATAGGTCATCGATTAAAAGATCATGGTCAGAAGGTCACATTCTTCGTGAACAACGCTCATCCACATCTCCCTCTGATTTACATAAAGGTATTCTGAGTGCCAATTTCTCCAGTGAGTATGAAGGAAGTATTAAAATTCTTTCTGACTTGGCACCAAATGTGTCGACTTCTGAAAAACAGCTAGCATATTTAAGGTATATTACTTTCCTTAATAATGAATGTTTTAATTTTGTAAGTGGTCGGTTAGATATTCTTCCTTAGACGTGCGCTCGCGAACTCGTCATGAGAGGACTACGTTATTTTGACTTGTTTTGTTGGACAAAATTGGCTTTTCTAAAAAAAAAAAAAAAAAAAAAAAAAAAAAAAAACTTTTATTACTGTAGATGCACTCAGCCTACTAGAGAGATTTTCTCGGAAATGCAAAGAGAGATACATCGAACATCAAAATTGGAACGCTATCGATTGCTCTAACTTTGTTGACGTAGATTGGCTCTCGTCCTCCAGAAATTCATTCGATGAAGAGTTGTTGGAGAGGTAGTTTGTTTAAAATTTTGTTCATATTAGCAATTGAAATGAGTTTAATTTGTATCATGAAGCGGAATCAACTCTTGTATGCTCAGGTCACTGCACATGTCATCAGAAAATGTCCTGATTGGGGACCGAACCTCATCTACCAGTGAATGTGAATCGAGCGAGAAGGTTAGTAAATTTTACCCTTTCTCCTATCAAATTTCAGCATCACAAAATGCTTAAAAAAAATGAAATGATTAAATGAAAGAAACTCATCTTAGAGAGATAGCATGCTTATCATTTTGTCATTGTTCTGTTGTAGCAGTTGAATTCCTAATGTGAATAAGCAGTCGAGCTTCTATTGTATGTTCATCTGTTTGTTCACGTGCATGTGTGTACATTATAGATTCGTGAAACTCTTCAAAATTTGTTGGGAAATGATCGAATTAAAACAGACTTGTATTACGATGAAGCTCGTGATTCGGAAGTTTTTGGCGAATTTTCGGACAGTTCTGTGAGCTGGCTGACAAATGGAGAAACACTGTGTCGTTGTGAAGATCCATTTAGTTTATGCAAATCCTACAGTGTGGGAGCTAATGTTGCAATTTGAAATCTAGCTAGGATGAATGAGAAAATAATCATTTCAAAAGCAACATTTTTCATCTAATTAAATGACCGAATCATGGGAACTACAGTATAGGATAGCTTATCTCTCTTCCCCCTTTTTAGTGTAGTCTGAAAGAGTAAATAGCCAGCTGTCAGAAAGATCCTGTTTCTATATGTTTTTATTTTTTATTTTTTCACCTGGTTAATGAATTATGTGAATTTATAAATATGGCATTTACTTGATAGTTTCACCTCTTGTAACAGACACATCAATTAGTTAGTATTAGATTATTTTCAGGCTTTGCCATATATAAAAAGTATAATATACACACCAGTTTAGTACAGTAAGTTATGTCAACCCAAGATGTGAAGTATTGTTTTAGTTTTAAACATATGCAGAAGGATTGTGTCAATCCAACGATAAAAACTACAACTTATATCAATCCAACTTATATCGGTAGAATCAAATCTTCTGCAAAATAGCAACCATGCTCCTCCAACTTCCAAGATATTGATTACTCAAGATAAAATGCAAATTCCAAATGATCATCTCTTAAACAGGTGAAAATTCAAATCAGAACTTAAAAATCTTATCCAGTTGTTTCCCGTCGCAACTTAAAAAGGGTCAAAATCTAACTTTTAATTTTAAATGTAATCCTGCTGCCATCACACACAACACAAAGTGATTGTCAATCTACCTAGCGCAAGATCAACCAAGAATGGGGATGATTCGTGCGATTTTATCCAAAGGTACGCCATTTGAAGCACTTTTCTTGAGCTGGGGATGGTTGAATTCATTGCAGGGGAGAATAATAAGTGGGCCCGTTTTCTCCTTCTTCTCAAATTGCCAACCAGAGTTTGCAGTGTGGTAGTCGATTATCTTGTCCAGAGAGGGGCCCTCAATGTTTATGGCCTGAAGATTTTATTTCATTATAGCATAAGTTCTTTTCCCCCTAAACTGACAAAGGTTATTAAACATTGGCCAAAATAATAATAAATAGATTAAAAGAAAATGAAATGGGAGAGGTGAAAGAAGAGAAACACACCTCAGCTAGTACAGACCTCGGGACTTTTTGGTACGTCAATGAAAGGACATGAATTGCATATGTTTGAACGGCTTGCTCAAAGCCTTAAACATAACATTGTAACATGTTTGTCAGCTATAAATTGTGTAATTCGAGAATATAACAGAGAAAGAACTACAGACGAGAATGCTGCAGCTATTACTATTTATTTAATGCAGAATTAAATAAGCCCACCATAACAATAGTATCTTTTAAGCACCAATCGGCCTATTAAGAAACATTGGCATAGTCTCTTATAAACATAGTATCGGACCAGACTTCCAAGCAAAGGAAAACAGTCCGGAAGTTCATAAGCGAACACTTCCAGACAAACATTTATGACCTTATAACAAACGGAAATTTTATTAGGGAACATGCAGTTCCTGAGTTATAACGTTCCATGTACAACACTTAATATATTGCGGATCTGGTCAATATACTAAAGGCGTCCAAAAAGCAACTAAAAGTAGTTCTTACGTTCTTCCAAATTCTCTCTTTTTTGTGTTTTTTTCCTTCAACAGGCACAAGTTTAAACATAATGTATTCAAAATAAAATGTTCTAGCAGACAAATCTTCATGCCATTGTTATAGTCATTGGATTGACCAGCAACCAAAAAGGTAAACTGTGTTTAAATATACATACCTGGAACAGCCTCTAAGATGTGGCGGCTCTTAGCTGCTTCATCCCAAAACTGGCGGAATCGGGCAGTCTGTAGAGAGAGAAGAAAGGTTCACAGTAACACACTTACTCATCTGCAATGGTAAGTAAAAAATAAAGTGATATCTTTTCAAGTACCTCCAAGTAGTTCGACAAAACAATCAGTGTCTTAAATTGCTCCTCCATTTGCTGTTAATTGCCAAGGGGCACATCGCACATGAGACGACCAATAAGTAAACTAAATTAAATGTTTCTAGGTATCTCAGTAAAGAAAAGTAAAAAGCCACGAAGTTTACAAGAAAGGAAGTGCATAAAGCATTAGACAATCAAGCTTGAGGAATCTAAAATTCTGATCATATACATAGTCCAAATCACTAACTAAAGAAACATGTACCAAATTATACAAAATGATCCACGAAGGATACTGAATGTCCGTAGTCCATACTGGTCAACAAATGAAAGTTACTTCCGCCAGAAAATCAATTATGCATCTTTTCATGTTCCTATATTTTTAACTAGCAAGCAAACTTCAACTTCTCATCCACGGGAAAATGAGGCAATATAAAATTGATAATAGATTTCAGGTTGCAGCTGTTCTTTAGCTGGGACCATCACATTAGCTTCAGTAAGCGAGATGATGATTTATAGATGTTATAACAACTTCTTTTTTCTTACTACATTGATACCAATAGCTGAAAATTAGATCGTATCAACAAAGAAAAAATAAAAATTTAAAATCCCAACAAATATTTTGTGTCATCAATGGGTGGTTTCCTACAAAGTATAAGATAACAACAACTTGGCTTTTGAAGCATGACTTTTTACAAAAGAGAAAAACGAAGCATTTTTCTTAACATAAGCATGTTTTTCAGATTGAAGTAAAATGCTCGAGGCATATGGGGCAACTGTAATAGGATAGAGCCCAAGAATTAGTCAAATACCACTCTTTCAGGAATTAGAAAGAGACAGAGGCTGAAATCAGGCGCTGGCGTTGCCATCAAAGCCTGACAAACAGTACCAAATATCGATTAGTAAATGTAAGAATAAACAAGAAAAAGTAAACAACAAAACGAAAAACTTTTGGAATTTTTCTTCTTTCGCACAATTAGAGAAGATTGTATCACACAGATTCAAAAGTTTCAAACTTTCTATTACATATCCTATCCTACTATAATTGTAATCAGGGCATACCTTGATTAAAATGCGAACAACAATCTGGGTGCTCATTCGTGCAGGCTCAAACTGCAATTTTTGAGAAATCAAAGAGAAACCAACCAAAAAACTATCAACTTCGAAATACAGTCAAAAGGAATCAGTATTTTCAGCTGAACAAGATAACAACAACGACAAAATCATACTTGGTAGAGACGCAGAAGGCAAAGATTTGCATCCAAACTGTAGGTTTGCGATGACACCTGCAATTACATCAACATAAGAATCACATCAAAATACAAACTTTCTCATTCCCACAGAAACCAACAAAACCATACACTCTAATTTTATACAGAGTGAACAAAACAATGGGCGCAATACCTGCTCGTTAACGTAGTTTTCGAGATCGGGGAGAATGTCGGGGTTGTAGGGATTGACGGCGATGAGCTGCTCCACCGTGTACGCCACCGTAGACTGATGCTTCTGGTTGGTCGGAGGATTAGACATCTCTTTGCTCATTTTCTTGTTTCAATTCAAAATTTTTTGTTCGGAATTTTTCTTTCTATTTCGCCCCGAGATTTGGAGTCTCAGACTTGCAGAACTGCAGTTCCGTTTTGCAAAACAAATTTTATGAACCAAAAAATCATGCATGTTCACAAATCACAACAATAATTGCATATTTGACAGTAATCACAAGTCACAGCACAACACAATAACCTCTTTACCCTTCAATTATTTTTGGATCCCATTTCTTAGCCTTAATGATAAACAGCAATAAAACAAAACATTATTTGAACCATTTTAATAAAAAACAGAGGTTAATGGCAAGGATTCAATGGCAAGGTTAATTAAAAACAATCATGTGCAGCCTCTTATATAGGAAAAATCAAAAACAACAACAACAAACTCAATTGATTCAATTGACCATACACACTCAATCCAACGCAGTAACACTTTCTATCAAGAAATAAAATTTTAAAATTCCATCAGAGTCCTCAAATCAGCAACCTCAAACACATTTATATCTCATTCTCATTCTATTAATTTAATAAATAATCATTCCAATTAAACAAAAAATCAAAATAATCAAGTGAATGAAGAAGAGGCCCAAATTCAATTTCAATTCCTTAATCTCCAATGAAGAACAAAATATTACCTTCGGAGTCGACTGAGGAGCAGGGGATGTCGGGATGGCGAGAGCCTAGGAGCAGGGAATTGGAGTGCGCGAGATGCTGAGATATAGGGAGACTGTGAAAGTGCGAAGCAAGTTGGTTGTGAGTAGACTAAGGCGGCGGAGATCCTACTCTCGTCGGGCTGTGCCGCTGTGGAGGAGCCGTGGAGGTTGAGGTGGAGGGTTTGGAGGCTGCGGTGGTGGAACTAGTGAGAAGATGAAGAAGTGAAAATGTGAAATGAGGGTTTCGTGATTGAACCCCTGAGCTGCCTTCGATTTTGCTTTTTTTTCTTTTTTGGTGTTTCAATCAAAAAAAAAATTGAATGCAAGTGGGTCTAAAAAAATATGTTCTCCAATGTATAAGTGGACTAGGTTTTGTTGATGTAGCAGCAAGAAAAGGAGATCCGGTCTAACCTTAAATCCATTTTAGATCCAAGTAGAGACTTAGTCTCCTTGCATTGGAGTAGATTTTGTTAATTTTATATATTTTTGTCCATGTCATCTAAGACTTAGGTTCATTTACATTCCACATAGACAAAACTAGACCTAAAATATTGCAGATGCTCTAAGCGCTATTGTGTAAATAGCGTAAAAAATCGCGAGAAAAACGTGTCACGTCATGAAAAGCGTGCCTATTTTAGGAACTGTGCGAATTTTTACACGCTACAGCACGTTTTCAAGCAAAAGTGCGCTATTGCACGCTTGTAGCGCGCGAAAATACGCTTTTTAAAACACTGATCCAAACTGTAGATTTGGATGAGACCAGCAATTACATCAACATAAGAATCACATCAAAACACAAACTTTCTCATTCCCACAAAAACCAACAAAATCATACACTCTAATTTTATACAGAGAGAACAAAACAACGGGCGCAATACCTGCTCGTTAACATAGTTTTCGAGATCGGGGAGAATGTCGGGGTTGTAGGGATTGACGGCGACGAGCTGCTCCACCGTGTACGCCACCGTAGACTTATGCTTCTGGTTGGTCGGAGGATTAGACATTTCTTTCCCCATTTTCTTGTTTCAATTCAAAATTTTTTGTTCGGAATTTTTCTTTCTATTTCGCCTCGAGATTTGGAGTCTCAGACTTGCAGAACTGCAGTTCAGTTTTGCTAGGGCTTTCTACCCTTTCTCTTGATATTAAAAACTCGTTTTTCCTAATAACTTTTTGATATCCCCTCCCCTATATATTAATTTTAATTCAGAATGTGCTGAGTCTAACTGGCATACTCGTATGTTTCAGATTTTATGTGGCAAAATTACATGCTTGCTTCGATAGATTTTAATTTAATAATTAGGTCCGGATAATCCATGATTATTTATGGTCATGTTACATGTATTAGTTGTATTTTAATATCATTTCGTATTAATCATTATAATCATTTAATTGTAAATGCATTTTAAAAATTAATAACTTTTGTAGTATATATCAGTTTTACATATATAATATATCAAATGAATTATCTTTTGATGAACTTCAATTTTTTTTTGTCAAAGTGATAGATAATATTATAATACAAAATGCACAAATGTGCGAATGCACAGCAGCCAACGGCTGAATACACAACAACCAACAACTGAAAAAGTGGGAGGACAGGTCAGAAGACTGCCTAGAAACCCCGCTAGCAATGCTATTATAAACCACTCGCAACTAAACTAACACACAACACAAACAACTAGAACAACTCAAAAAGACCCCAACTGGAGTAATAAATTGATTATCTTTTGATGAACGTCAATTTAACATCCATAGTGTATGTATAAGAAAAATAAATTATATTTATCTTTATAACAAATAAAATTATTTTTTAATATTAAGTAGAAAAATAACGTTATTTATCAATTAATATATTTATATTTCAAGTAGTTATATGATATAAGTTATAAAAATTACTATAATATAACACATGTAAGTTGCACAAGCAACAAGTGTCATTTTAAAATATATAATAATAAATATTTTTTTGTAAAAATGTAAATAAAACTTAAAATAATTTTTTCAATAATTTAAAATTTTTAAAATAATTTTTTGTCAAGCACCCGTGTAATACACAGGAGTTGTACTAGTATAATTTCATAACTGAACTTAAGTGGTAGATCCTCGCACACAGAATCAACGAGGTGAGGGAGCCATTTTCGGCGAGGGCTTGTGCATCAAAATCTACTGCGAAAGCTCCTAACTGGAAACAGCACAAACTATCCTTTTCTCAGTTTTCTAAAATTGAAGAAGTTTTTGATTTGGTATTGCTCGACAGTACCATGTAGCTTTTTTTCCTTAAAACACTTGTGCGGGCCAAGCCCGCCCAACCAAAAACCCGATATGGGTTCGGATCAGATTCCGGGTTTCTATAGCCCACTCGCTAAAATAGCCGACTTTGGAAGTATGACTGTTGACGGTCAAACTGAGAAAAGGAGACAGTTTGTGTTGTTTCCAGTTAGGAGCTTTAATTTTGATGCACAAGACCTCGCCGACAATGGCTCCCTCACCTCGTTGATTCTGTGTGCGAGGATCACATCAAGACGTGAGCTGAGGGACTAGAGTTGGGGGAAGAAAATTTGTTCACAAAGCTTAAAATTGATCCAATTTGAGGTTCAATCTGAAGAGTGCAGAGATGGCGACAGCGGCCGCTGGTGGTGGTGCCGAAAAGTCCAACGTCCCAAAATTCGGCGCGATCTCGAAAGGATACAACTTTGCTTCCACCTGGGAACAGGTTTGAGACTTTCTTTTTCCTCGTGGAGTACTCGATCAGCGTGAGCCTGATATTACGGACTTGGTTAGAGCGCTGTTTTTTAGCTGTTTTGGCGATAGATCTTCTGGCCCATTTGCACGTTACCTCACTTTTCCTTAGCTAGATTTGATATCTCTGTTTGTTGCCCTTCATTGTTAGATTTGTTTTTGGATGATAGTACTTTACGGAACATTAGTTAAATTACAAATTGAAATGCGAAGGAACCTACATTTAAATCCTTTTAAATCGGTGGGATCCATTGCCTTTTTTTTCTTTTTATTTGAATTTTTCGTTTTCTCGAGGGGATACAAACATGTATATGTGTATATAGACATGTCCGAATCCCGGGCCGGGTCTGGACCCGGCCCTGCCCGGCGGGCCGACGGGTTAGGTTTCGGCGACCCTGAACCGGCACGGACCTAGGGTCGTGCGGGGTCCACGACCCGGCGGGCCGAGCCGGGCCCGACCCGGGTTTGGGCCCGGCCACATTAAAAAATTAAAAAAAAAAAAATTCAAAACAGTGTATTTTTCCGTGCTGGCACGGACCCGGCCCGGCCCGCCAGGTCAAGGTTGAAAAAAACATGACCCTTGATCGGCCCGTTTGAAATCCGTGTCGGGCCCGGACCCGTGGACAACGGGTTTGACCGGGCCGGGTCCGTGTCGTGTCCGGGCTGGGTGACCCTTGGCCATGTCTATGTGTATTAGTTTTAACCTGTGCATTTGCACGGATAGCAATATAATAGAGGAAAAATAAAGAAATATAATTACAAAATCATAATTAAATCATTATCTTCAAACAAGCACAAAATCGTTCCATGAAGCATTAGTAATGACAATTATAGAACTGTTTAGAACTTTTTTGAGTTGGTCGCTGTTAATTTGCGGATGAAAGATCTAACTCGAAATAATTTTAATAATTAATAAGAACCAATAATCTTCTAATCACATTAGCGATAAGTGATAATGAAAAGTAAAAAAAATGAAAATATACCAGGAAGTTGAATGTCTGAATGCAAATTATAGTGATGTCCGTCTTTGGCACAAAGGTGTTTACGTAGAAACGTTGGATGACATATCTAAAATAATCAATTTATGCAGTTTTAATGTGCACTAAAAAGTTAATTTTCAACTTGAGAATATATAAAGTATATTTATTAAATAATGTCAAATATAACATTGTATAAGGTTTTCACAAAAGAAAATTGGACAAATATAACAAACCACATTGTTTGTGATATACAAATCAATGGTACATGTAATAAACTTATACATAAAATGGTTTTAATTGTGTAAATAATTTTATATTTTTTCTATAACCACATCGACATATGGTTTAGGGTTTTAAATCGAACAAAAGAATTAAAAAAATTATTGTTTGGGTGATAAATAATGATATGGGTCAATTGTTTAAGCCATTTTATACCAATGCAAAATTGAGTCGAACTAACTTAGTTGGGCAGAAAAAGTTAAAGGGTTAATCCAAAAAAATCACAACCTTTTGTTGAATTGCAAATAAATATTAACCTTTTTAATTTTGCAAATAAATCTCAACCTTTATTAACTATTGCAATTTTGTCTCAAATTTGAACTTCGGCCATCCGCCGCCACCGACCACAACCCAAACTCGCCGAAATTGAAAACTTTTTACGTCATCGTGTAGCTCTCCTTCCGGGCAACAACATATCCGAAGTTCGTGTAAAAATTACGACAATAAAGGTCCAATTTTGCTGGAGATATTTAAATAAAATAATTAAAGTTGATTTGATGTAAAGTATGAGAAAAATGATTGGAAGTGATAGTTAGTTAAAATTATGTGAGCGGATGAATAGTGAATTAAAGTTGATGTGATGTGTAAGAATGATTGGTTGATATTATTTAATTATATTATTAATATTAAAGATAGTGAGTAGAGTTAAAGTTGAGTTAAATTTGAGTTTTGACTAGATTTTTTTACTATTGAATTTATATACAATCACACTCTTATCGTTGTCAATTATCTACCGTGATTAGTAACACTACATTGAGAAGGAGAAGGGTATCCTTTTCTATGTATTTATAAAAAGGCCCTTGATGAAAAGTATAATTCATTGATAATCACAAGCATACTGACACTCCAATTTGTGTCCGAACATAATCTCTATCGCAACACAACACTCCCATATTGACGCAAGTCTTCTCGCCATCTAATCATTGATTAGATTGATATATTTTTTTACAACACAAATTCTATGGAGCGATGTACTGACATATGTTCGATGTGTATTTTTTAAAATATACGTGTCAATACATCATTTGTGAATAATTATAGATGACTCCATAAGTCGAGTCATCCGATAGCTCCATAGCAAAACCGTTTTTTACAATATAAATACTTTCTTAGAAAATATCATATTTAATGTGATATAGTTACAACATTTAATAGAGTGTATACATGTATATAACATTTCTTATCATTAATAATTTTTCTTTTCACTTTATTACACTTTTATCTAAATGTTATAATCCCTATTATTCAACTTTTATAGGTAATATAATTTCTAATATTCTTACATAATTTTAGTCATTTGTGTTTTGTCACCTACTGAACATTAATTTTATTTTATTTATAATTTTTGGTTTTAAATCATATATTAGCAAATTTAATCCAACCGATTTAATTTAATAAAAAAATTATTTGTTACTTTCAGATTTTTCTTTTATGTTATAAAAAGGTGTAAATGAATTATACATTATTATTACACTACAAACAAAATACAAACTCAATTAAATGACAAATTAAAAATAAATATCCAGTTCTTTTCAAATTTGTGCACGTGGATTGTAACAGAAAACATACATAATTAATCTATATATATAATATGTTAAACACAGAAAAAAAAAAAAAAAAGCTTTGGTCAATTAAATGTGTAACATAAATCATTCCATGACAAATCAATTTTTTATTATTATTATTTTCTTTTTTTTTTTGTAGAAATCACATTGTCCAACAAAATTGTTGCATAAATTTTAATATAATATTCGTTATTTGGAAAAATAATAACGATAATAAGTAATTAATTGGCACCTTAATTTATTTTGTATTAATAAAGTAATTATAATTTTATTTATTTATTTTATAATTACCACTACTAACTAATCATAAAGTCACATTAAATGATATCCTATTCTAAAAAAGACTAACTATTTATTTAAACTATTATCTTTTTTAAGTTCACTAAACAAGTTTTTTTTATTAAGACTAGTTAATTGTTTTTTTTTTTTGGCATAACCAAACTCCATAAAATT